TTGCTAAAAAAAAAAAAAAAAAAAAAAAAAAAAAAAAAAAAAACAAGGTTTCATCTGGAAGAGGTAGGCAACAGACGGACTATTTAAGAAATTCGTCCGCGCCGGCTTTACTGTAGCGTAAGTAGCTCTTCTTCTGGAGCCGTAAGCGTAAAACGTATTAACCCACGATGGTGTCCTTATCACGCGTACTATGACTGGTAGCGGGTAGACGAGGATCGAGATTATCATGAGTAGCCCCGCGTCAGAAGGATCGTTTCAAGAGCAGCTAGCGACGCGCTTGCGGCTGACGTTGCTGGGTCAGACCGCCCGCTTTAGCCGCGCGCTCGTCTTTGAACCCCGTCTCCGGTCTCGTTCCGAAAATCTCCGGGGACGGAGAGCGCGAAAGGCTGTCGTACCTCGACCGCGAAAAGTGGCTATAGCACGGCCACCCGACGTCTTCTCCACCGATGGCGTCGCTTAATCCGAAGCGCTAGCAATTTGGGCGCTCGGACCTTACACAACACACTAAGCGAAGGGCCCGAGGCAGGCGGTGTCTTGGAGTCTATGGTTCCTCCTACCCCTCGCCTAAGAGCCCACCTAGAGAAGCTGGGGGTCACTCGAGACACAGCGCGTCAGCGGTTCCGAGAATGCGCCAGCAAGACCAGAGCAGGAAGACTCTTCGAGCTTCGCCTTCGGCCAGAGACGGGTCGACAGAGGGGGCTTGAGGGTTGCAGAATAGTGAGCAATATGGGTGAAACGCGCGCGTGATGCGGACTAGACAGTAGAACATCTAGACCCCTACAGTCCCGGAACGGACGCAGACGAGTAAATACTTTTTGCAGTGGTCGTTCCGCGAGAGGACGTAGTATGGGCCATCAAAGACCGGAGAGGATACCAGTAGTTTCGTTACGGCGTAAGCTAGAGCGTACATGGGTATGACTTAGATAGGACCAGCCCACAGTGCGGTCAGGAGTGCCCAGCGAACATGTATGCGTTAAGCGTGTCTATAGCGCTATAAAGTCATTCCTATAGCCGCGCACGTTAAAGTTCAGTCACAACTTATTATACAATGTTCAATATTCAGGACATAACTCAATTATATTAAAACCTTAGATTCTTTTGCAACTAAGATTAATTTTTGATAAATTGAGTTATGTCCTGAATTGAACATTTCTAATTAGTTGTGAATGACTTAACTTCCTATAGGAAATGACTTTATAGCGCCTATGCAGATCGTACTATGTGTTCGTCCTAAGTGGAACGTTTGAGCTCATAGCTAACGTTTCTGACTGATTATCATCTAGTACCTATATAATTACTTACCATTTGTACATATATTCCTTCCTCGTAAAACGACCACTGCAAAAAGTTATTTTTACTGACCTCGGCGCAGCTGTAGCGGTAGTTACCTGTAGTTAGCGCATCACCGCCGCCACAATTCATGTCGGCCCTTCCCCTCTGTCTCTTGCCCGCCGACTCCCGAAGGAGTCCCTTCGCTAGTTGTTCCCTCTTCGGTTGCGCTGCGTTGTCTCGTAGCTCGACCCCCCATACTCTAGCGTGTCTACGGCGAGGGAGGAGGAATGCAGCCTGGAAAGACAGCGCGTGGACTGTTTCGCGTAGCCTAGTCTTCTTGTTTTTTTTTTTTTGTTTGTTTTTTTTTGTTTTTGTAGGGTGGTTGGTCGAGAGCCTGCTTGGGTTAAGCCCACTCACACCCCGCCCAGCCCCTTGCGCCTCTATAAGTCCCCACTTTTTCGCCGGGGCTAAGCGGGGCTTTGTAACCTCCGAGCATTTTAAGGTGGCCGAAATGCTTTCTCCCCCCCTCCCCTGGTATCATCACCCCTACCCGATTTCATAGAATCGAACAGGGCATCGTGTCTTACCCCACGCCAAAAATCATCGTTTACACTCGTCATATTGTATATTTGTGCTAATGTCGTAACAGAAAAATAAGATAACATGTGGCACTGGATCGCATTATAGTGGCCAAGGCATTGCATAAACGGTGATTCCGATTTTCGAGGATCCGCCGATTTGTTCCCTTGGATTCCGGATTACGCGATAGCCACTACAAAAGATAAATGACAAAAAGATAACAGAATTATTCCGACCCGTCAAACGCAGAAGTGCACCGTATCAATCATAAAATTGGTTGCAATTGGATGAATTGTCACTAGACAGAAAGATTCCGCCAATTTATTACACCTGCGTTAAATCATCCAAAACATTTATAACTAGTGTAATTTTCGCGCTATGACTTGAACGACTGTTAAACTCCCGATGAAACGTGTGCGCATTAAATATGACAAGAAATACAAAGACCGATGACAATCAATACACAGATATAAAGACACGACATCACATAATACCACAAAATACCTTTGTTAAGATTAAAAGTTAAATCACACATAACGAAACACTTTGTACACCGGCATATAAACGTCACACAAAATTGATTAAACCGGTTTTCAAATTCAAAATAACTTACATCAATCACAGCCCAGGTCAAAGGGTGGCGTTCGCCTAAACAACTCACTGTCGAAGGGACTTGCTTCCCGCATTGCCGTCACGACGACAAAAAGTACCCTAACGCTTTTTAGGAGACACAAAACCGAAGACTGAGAACAAAAGAGCGAATGTGAGAGAGTTGTTTTATTTTGTTTCGCTTCCTCCTCCTTCTCTCTCTACCAATTTCCTCTTTTGTTCTCAGTCTTTCGTTTTCGTGTCTCCTAAACGCGTAGGCGTAGCTTTTTGGTTCTCCGTGACGATGCGCGAGAGTCCTTTCCCGGACAGTGAGTTTTTGTTAAGGCGAACACACTTGACTGGCGCTGTTCATTTTATGTGAGTTATTTTGAATGCTTGTATGTTTATAGTGGCACGAGCGCAAAGTAAACCGTTATTTTTCTGAATGTTCCATTAGGCCTATGTTCGTAAAGGCTGTATTATTCTGTTGATTTTCTGAATGCTGTAGGCCTATGTTATCGCCTATTAGGCTACAGTATGTTCCTTAATAAAGGCTTGATTAATTCATTAATTCATTTTGTTTCATACATTTTCGTAACAATTAAGATGCTGCGTGTGTTTATGTAGCCTATATCTGTTATGTATAGGCCTAGGCTATTAGGCCTACGTGTCGAGTTCGTTAATCATTGATAGTGTGAGTTTCCCCCCCGACCCTCCCAGCAAAAATCCCGCACCCCCCCCCAGAAAATAGTTCCGACGTCCCTGCACTCACCCCTACTTTAGTGGGAACAACGAGTCTGCGTGTTTGATGCACAGAGGAATAAACGCAGATCATCCTCTGACTGCAGCCTTGACCGGTACTTGCTTTTGATCAAAGTCAATGCGGAAAACCTGCACTCACACAGGTAGGTGGAGGTGCAGGGAATGAGCACTTTTACAGCCTTTTTGGCGAGGTGGGGGAACTCGCTCTCCACAGACAGCCACAAGTGACACACCTTTTCTGCCAGACGCTGTCTCCGCTCTCACTTTAGGTAACTTCACTAAAGATCGATCCATGTTGCCGCTCGCATAAAGTTAGCTGAAGTTAACGAGCTAGATTTCACTGTTTCTCGTTATTTTTTTCTCACGCTGCGCCTCCCCTGAAGCTCTCTGGCGCCCCCCAGGGGAGGCGCGCATCACACTTTGAAAACCGCTGATCTAGATTGATAAAAGAGACTACAGGTACAATATGTATTTTAAACTTTCCCTTTGACAAACCAAGAGGCAGCTCCTCACCTGGGATCATCTTGATGGCCGTGTTCACTTCCTTCCAGTTCTCAGCGCGCTCAAACTTCCAGTCCAGGATGAAGTTACTGTTGTCAGTGACCACAGGACCCTGAGACACAAACACACAACATGTTGGTTTATTTGTTTAAATTGCAAAGTAACACCATGAAGGCTGTGAGCAAAGTTCATAAGACAGGAATGTGTTTAGAACACTAAAAATAAAATGCACACACAACTAAAATGTTGTCATAAATAAGTATTCACGAGATTATACAGAGTGATCATGACTTAGTTCAACAAGAAAACTTTTTTTTTGATGAACAATTTATTACTCGGACTGAAAGCTGATTTTGTCCAGATAATTCCAGAGCCTTGATAAACAGAGTTGACACATTCCTTCACCTTAAGCTTTCCAAAGGCTTTCCAGTTAGAAAAGCATCGCCATGTGGCCTGACGATTGTCTGTAGGTGATTGTGTAACTGTGAGGCTAATGTTAATTAGATAACACGTCTGTGATCATGGAGGCCGGGACTCATTAGCACACAAACCGCTTCCAGCCTCAGCAGTCTGAAGGAATAGCACAACCATGACGAACAGGAACAGACTCTGTCTCCTGCTGGATGTTGTTCATTTTAAGGACTGAAGACAAAGTAAATCATTAACTGTATACTCTACTGCAGCCCGTTAAAGAGGCAGATACAGTGCATTTGTCATTTTGCTTTCAGCACAAACTTTCCTGAGGACAACACTTTCCACAGAAACCTTTCCTTAGATGTGCCCTGTGGCGGTTTTTGAGAACAAACAAGTGTATCTTACATTCAGGGTTTCTGACAAATGCAATGAAGGCATATCCTTCCACAAAAACATTTTCAAAGCCCTTTATTTAAGCCTTTTAAAAGCATACATTCTTTATATCCACACGTACGTTGCAGTCTTTTTCTTGTCCACCTTTGCCTGCACATTATATCATATTTTGGCACCGACCACCACTTATAGATTAGCCTGATAGTGTGAGGCCTTAGGTAGACATGCGAGTTACGACACCAGCGTGCACATGGGAGAAAAAGGCTCCAGAGTGCTACTAGAGGTCACACACTCCACAGGTGACTTCTCACACACGAGTGCAGGAGGGTGTATTAACATTTCAATCGGTTGGATGCTACACAATCAGATGCTGTTGGTACCTGGACATGTGGATAGATATGTAAATTGTAATCCCTGTAATTGTTGCTGTCCTTTTGTTGTTCTGTTGTTTATGTTTTTATGTCTTCATGTGGAACCTACTGCTGCAGGTCTCCTTTGAAAAAGAGATCAATGATCTCAATGGGATTTCACCTGGATAAATAAAGGTTTTGAATTGAATTGAGATAGCGTTTTCTGCAAATAATCTGGTTTAGCACACACTGCAGTGATTGGACAGGCTAAGGTTCATTAAAGATATCAGAAATGTACTAAAGGACAACCTAAAGAAAAGCTGTGAGTGAAAAGAAGAAACTGGAGGTCTCTGAAGAGAGCACAAAAAGTGTTGGATAGAGAAGGGACAGAGAATCGTCCACTCACCGCTTTACTGACAGCCATCCGCAAGTTGGCCTCCCCTCCGAAGCGCTTGGCTATCGCCCTGGAGACGGGGACGTACGCCATGGGGATCACCTCGATGGGAACTCCCTTCTTCCACTGCTGGCCCAGAGCCTTGGAGTCCTTCCTGGGGAAAAAAAAAAGAAGAAGGTAGAAATCACCATGAAACTTCCCCAAATGATGTTACATTGCGACAATATTTTCTTTTACTATACGTTTTCTGATATTTTAAAATGCAAATTAAGCATTTTCTTATTAAATTATAATGTGCTAATATGATATATTAACGAAACTTTCATCTGAACATTGGATAAAAGCAGGTTCAAAAGTCTTCTTTCACTGTGTTGATGTGTTAAGGTCAAAGGTTTTTAAAGAGGGATTTTTGGATATCTCTTTACATTACTCCATACATTGAAAATACTCTACAACATTACATTTTCAACATTCTTTGGACAAAAAGTTATATAGATCAGGCTATACAAGATAAAAGTACAAATCTCTATGTAAAAAAAGATATATTTCAGAATATAGATAGGAAGGAAACTGTAAAATATTGTGTTGTAAGTCCTAATAGTGTAAGGAAAAAATCTATTTAGAGAAAACAGCCTATACAGATATTTATAATATACTTCTTTTGTTGAGTTAAACTAGCAAATACAAACCTGTAGTCTGCGATGACGACGAAATGTTTAGCACAGCCGGCTACGATCTTCTCCTGAGTCAGGCAGCCGCTGAGAGACAGAGGGCGAGAGTGAGACAGAAACCAGAGGAGAGGCTAAGTTCTGCTGCGTATATTAAACTGTACTCACCCTCCACCTTTGATCAGCGTCAGCTCTGCGTCCACCTCGTCTGCTCCGTCTATCGCCACGTCCAGCTGGGTGGGAGGAACGTCATGTATTACAGAAGACAACAAAGCTCCACCATTTAGGTATTCCTTTGCATTTTCACAGGAATCCTTTTCAAAATGCTCCAATTCAAGCTGACAGGGTTTAAGCGTTGACTTATTGTGGCCCTTTCCTCATTTCTATTTATCAAACTCATTGTACCTCTGGGTGCCTGTCCAGATCCGACAGTGTGAGGCCGTGCTGCAGGATCAGCTGACGAGCCTGTGGGGGGGAAATACAGAAAAAAAAGAAGTGAAAACCAGCAGAAAAGGAGAAAAAGCTGCATTCAGATTTAGTATTTTTAAAGAACATGAAAACAGTCATTATTAATGTTGGAAATGTAAGTATGAATGCATCTTCTCTGGCAAATCCATGTGTATTCATCTTAGACAAAAAGAAAGAGTGTGAGAGTGTGTGTGTGTGTGTGTGTGTGTGTGTGTGTGTGTGTGTGTGTGTGTGTGTGTGTGACAACAAAGCCACAATGTTACAGTACCTGCTGTTGACAAATACTGTGCGTGTACCAATAAGCCACCAGGATGAAAATAATTAGATGTCATGTTGTTCTAGTCTTAGTAAGAGACTACATATCGCACACCAACCTGGAAGGAGGTGGGCACACACACGATGTTCAGCTTCTCCTGACGCACTCTCTCAGCTGGAAGAAACCACACACACAGTTAAAAAGAATAATGAAGGTGTTATATTGATACATTATAAACTTTAATATAACGGTGGTCAAGTTATTGTCTAAATAACTTGGGTGTTATTTTGAGACATCAGCTGCCTCCAGTATGACTTCATGATGGTTTTACTCACCTAGTCTGTCCACAGCATAGACGATGGTTGATCCACTGCCCACTCCAACCACTTGGTTGTTCTATTAGAGACAGAAAATAACTCAAAATGATGAAACATTTCACAACAGGCCAAGAGATAAACATGCTAGTCGATGTGTTGAAATGGAGCAGCAGCAATGGACACAATAAGAGGAACTTTTAATATAATAAGTTTTAACAAGAACAAAACACCATGAACACATTCATGGTAAAGTCTGAAACAACTGCCTCAACAAATACAATTAGGTTTAAGACAATACTTTTCTTATGGTTTCAATGAATACAGTGTCACATGACCTACAAGATGGGGATCTGTAGTGGATATTTTTTTATTTGACAACCTGTTCCCACTCTTTCTTCCAGCATTTCATTACCAGTAATGCATGGTCTATTTCCTGCTCTATTTCATTTCCATTGCACCATGTTTAATAGCAGTTTAAATGGCAAGTATAATGTAGATTACATCAACCTAGCTTCTGTTTCTAATGTCAGCTCGTTTATTTCTGTCTGTCAATCAGTTAAAACTACACTGCCCGTCCTGCTATTAGCTAACACATGCTGTAACATACGGTTGATATATTTAGTCCTTAATGCCGAACAAAGTTAGCCCACTATCCCGGAACAAGCATGCATAGCACTGAGCTAATTCCCTCCCAAACCGTGCATGTTAGATAAGGGGAATAAGTTAGCAAGCTAGGCTAACTAACCTGGTTGTATAGTAGCTAACTTTGCTAGCATGCAGCATATGAGAACTACACATGGCTGAGGTGGTGGACACATTTGGTGATATTAAAATATATTTTAGACAGTTAAATGTACCTGAACGTGGTTATCCACAGCAGCATAAGCGGCCAGTTTCTTCGCCTCCTCTGCCATGATATTAGCGGACTGCGAGAGCAGACACACGTGTTTCCTCCTGCTGGATGCTGAAGAGAGAAATCCAGCTGCAAGTTTACTGAAGTAGGAGAACACACACCCCTGTAGTCTCATGGCCCGGCCCACAACACACACACGCGCACACAAACACACTCACGGGCCCACAGACAGACAGGTTACTCCTCTGCACCAAGACGTGAAGGGCAGACTGTTGTTTTTGCTTTAAGCCCTGTTTCTGACAGCTGGTCACCTGTCTTAACTCTTATCATATGCCTCGTAGATCTGCTGTGATCTGCGCATGTGCAGCACGGCTGTTAGATAGAAAACTGGGCAAAACAATTCAACTTCAGGATAACACTAGAGAGCTGTGGTTCTATGGTAATATGGGATAGATATTGTTTTTTGGACAGTGCCTTTTATGTATTGGAACATTTTAAATAGATAATAAGAGATTGACAAGAAAAATAACTTGAGGACACAAAAAAGACCAAAAAGAAAGCATTTGTGTATTTGACAAATGTTAAATTGAATTTGTATGATCTTTTTTCTTTCCTTGTTTTACTTTATTTACATATATTCAAGTTTTAATCGTCTTGAATGGTAATAGTGTAATAGAAAAATTGTTCATGTACGTGGTGGCCAACATTTCCACAAAGTTGAAGAAATAAGTAAACATTATATAATTCTGATCATACTGACGGAGATCTTACCGTCTTACCGAGTGTGGAGCGGAACATCTACAGTTGTCCTGAGGGTGGCGCCAGAGGAACAGCCATGAAGTCAGTACTATTTTAATGGTGTATCCCTTTGGGAGCATGACTGAGCGGAGCAGTTTTTACAACTTTCATATCAGATTATGAGATTTCTTTAGTACAAAGTTGACAATTTGGCCTGAGGGTGGTGTAAGATTAAAGAGTCCAAAATAAAAAATAGTTTTCTTCTTCCCTTAAGAGCTGGAAATGTATGCTATAAATTTCATCACAGTAAATCTGCCAATTAGACTTAGATTTTTCTTGTGCACAACAAAGAGTGAAGTTGTAATTGTGAGCTTTGGGAGACATCAGAGAGAACTGCTGCAGCTACTATAATTATAGACCTCACCCATGAGTCATGTGTTTTTAATGGGATATGCAGAAAACCCCTTTCTTCATTAAAGTAAAAGGCAAAACTTTAAGTTTATCCTTTAAAAGGGATCTGTACAAAGCCTTTGCCTTAATGAAATTAAATAAAACATGTGTAAAATGTTGATTTAAATCAGGAACTGAGGGTGACCAAAGACTACACACACGGGAATGCCAGTATTTTTGGAGTTCCACAATTGTATTTTTGCATGAAGCAATGGTCGTGTTGAGTATCCCCACAACATATTGACAGTGGTGTAAAGTAACTAAGTACATTTACCTTAGTACTGTACTTCTAGCTACTTGAATGTATTGTTACAGTATACTTCCTCTCCAATACATCAAGACAAATATTGTACCTCTTACTGCACTCGATTTATTTGATAACTTGAGTTACTAATTCATTTACATAATCAAATCATTAATACAGTGTTATCAACAAATAATGTATGGTGTTCTATTATTTGAATTAAGATACACAGCTGTATATGCAATCACAGCCCAAACATTAACAGTGTTTCAGCTATCAAATTATAGATTAAAATCCAGTCCAATAATGTAATATTATTCCGAAATTGGCTACTCTGCATGATGAGTACCTTAGTTTCGGTACTCCACATTTATTTTGATGTCAATACTTTTATAATTTGACTTAAGTCATGGTTTGATCGCAGGACTTTAACTTGTAACAGAGTATTCTGCACTATAACTGATACTCTTACTTGCATAGATCTTTCTGCATGTTTATATACTGTAAATTCACTCATTAGTACTTATGATCTGAGATGCAATGTAGGTCAAGGAGAAACACAAGGAAACGGCAACATTTACATCACTACTACTTTTTATTTGGCAAACAGCTTGAGATAGTTTCTCTTTTTCAGTGTACAGTATATATATACTATAATAAACCAACACATTCTGTTTTATAACCATTTTTTCTCATTTTACATATTACAGCTTACAAATATAGCTGATCTTTTGGACAAAATTACAGTTTCTGTTCGACACCTAAATGATTATGCTATATAAAAACCCAAACATCTTACATTCATGATTAGAAAAAGTAGGCTATATGAAATCAGGAAAAGAAAAGCAAAAACACCACAGTACGCAATTTCAAACAAATCCAATCAGGAGGAGGGGAGTCAAGGTTTCACAAACGTCTGAATCTGAATATCGCTCTGAATCTGAAGTCAGGCCCTCTGAGAGAAGTTTGCTGCTATTCCAAAATCATCAGCACGGAGAAGATATCAAGGAACAACAACAATACTGTCACGTAAGAAGAAGAATGGTTAAATCTCTGTACTCTGTCCAAAGTTAGAAACTAATACCTTGCCGTGGATTATAATGGATACTTGATAAAAACTAAACTTTGCATTTCAAACTGTACATATTACTTCATACCTCACATCTCTCTCGCCAGAGCTGTTTTAAGCCTTAATCCAAAGGATTATGCAAATGCTTCCGAGCTTTCCTTTCATGCCTTGCTATCTCGGCATGAGACATCTGCTTAAATTGGACATCTCTCTCACATCTGTAAGACAAAGTTGAACATTATGCATGAGGGAGCTGCCATTTGGACTTTGGGAAAGCAAGTAAACAGTAATAAAAACCCAGCGCTGTGAATGCTTTGTTCACGGGCAAACATTTGTTTTTCTCCTTGATGTTTGAAATAATTGAATCAGCACAGAGTAGTTTTATTAAAGATGAACTAAAAGTCTTAGAAATGCAACGGTTTGCTTTTGTTTCACCACTTCCGCTGTGAAACCTGAATCTCACCAGTTTGTACACAGTATTGCTGAATATTTGATTTGTTAGTCTTTTGGATACATGTCTATAGCATTACATCGTATCAAAAACCCAGATTAGACATGCTTTAGGCTAAACAGTGTCTGCTAAAATAAATGGTCTTTTTTTTGTGTTTTATTTTTTGTACTGTAGATAACAAGATAATCTTTCCAGACGTCTGGATTTTTTACATGACAACGTTTGCAAGCATTGATCTAATCTTAACATCTAAATAGAAAACAAGACCAGATTATTCTAAAACTCATCTTTGAACACTTGTTCACAAAATAAAACAAAAATAGGATGCACTTTGTTTAATCCAAAGCTCACAAATAGTTTTTTTAAAGGTTTTTTGTAATCTTTTTTAGTTTTTTTTTTACCTTTACCTGCCTTTCATCTTTACTACCGATGCACCAGAACGGTGTTGGACTTCGACATGAACTGGAATGACTTTGATGTGTAAACACAGCGGCACAGCCTGATGTAAGACAAGACGCTAAAATTCAACAATCAGTAACTGTGGATCAGGAATGTGAAGGAGCAAACAGAGAATTACAAACTACTTTCCGTTTCAGCTTAAACACAAACAATTCTCATTATTTTACTTAAAAGATAAACTGTCATAATGATAAATAAATATTTATATTTGTATATTGCCATAATATATTCTAATATATTCATAATTTGATAAAGATTTCACAATATAGTTTGGTTTGTGCTGTTGCTCTAAATAATTACAAAATATATATAACTGTGGAATGTTATTTTATTTTATTCAGCCGAGTAATTCCACCCAAAGCCGCATTCACATCGCTCTAACTTGTCGCCGGACATCGCTCAAATTTTTCGCTGAACTTCGCTAGAATTTGTCGCCTGACATCGCTCGAAAATTGTGGCCAAGCTTTTTATCTCGTTTCGCGCTGACCGTTCGACAAGAAACCAATCAGATGACAGCTGTAGTTGGTGGTGCAAGCTAGCAGGGGACGTTACAATAACAACTAAACCAACTAGTTGTTTTCAGCAAGGCAAAGAGCTGATGTGAATGCAGCTTTAGAAATGAGGTTTCTGAAAGACCTGGCAAGAAGCTAGACGGATAAAGTAGCTTAGTAGTGTGGCTATGACACACACACATACTCACACACGTTCCTTTTACCTCCTTAGTGAATGCTGCATTTTCTTGGAATGTCTTAGAAACTATAAGCACAAGTGTCCTTCATAGTAAAAAGGGGGGAATCACGGATAAAAGGTGCAGGAATGTAACGGTTTTCACACTGCACAATGACAGAATTACAAAGGGTACACATTTACTTTGCAGTGGTTTGAATGCAGCGTTAATTCACCCACGGAGAAGTGTTTAAGTACTTAGCAACACAGTGTAAGCATGTAGAATGACGGTGTAAAAACACAATGCGAGTGTTCATGCTTACATTGTGCAAATAAGCCTCTCTATAATGGCAGAATTGTTTAATACTTACACAGTATTAGTGAGTACTTGAAGCACTAACCCATAGCTTAACACACAGATGACTACACTCCAGTAAGGGTTTTGTAAAATGTGGAGGAACATGGAGGTATATGTCACTGACAGGCTGACAGGGTCAAACAGAGGGGAAACAGGGTTCTGGACTTTCCTTTTTTTTTGGCAGAACTTTCCCAAAGAGAGGCTGTCCGTCCACATTTGGAAATAATTCCCACTGCTCCTCATCTCTCTTTCTCACATCACTTCCCATTTTCACCTGCAAGAATGTTCTTATCAGATACAAAAATCAAAATAGTCGGTATCTCTCCTTTTTGCTTCCAAACAGTTTTGCATTGAAAAATATTTTTAAATCCGTATTTGTATTATTTTTTTTCCCTTCAAATTCCAGACGGTTTTCTTGTGGATCCAGAACTTGTCTCCAGCTGTCGCTACATGTGTTGGGCATCCATTATGTCCAAGTATTTGGCCTCAATGATATGAGGAAGCACGTTGTTCCTAAACACAGAGCAGACAGAATCAATGTCAGTCGTTTCTTGTTAGAGCAGCGCAGGGAGAGAAAACATGAGGAAACAAAAGCCCCAACCATCAGAATGTCAGATCTTATCTCACAAGATTTATCACTTTGCTCTCAGTAGTAGCAGAGAACAAGAGATAGGATCAGTGTTACAGTGGTGGCTGGTGTGTACTTTTGTTGTGTGCACAAAGGCACTATAGGTCTGGAAACAAATGAGTCTTCACACTCAAAAAGTACTTTAAAGAGGCCTTATTATGCTAACTTTCAGGTTCATATTAGTATTTAGTGTCTCTACTGGACATGTCTACATTATTTTATGTTCAAAAAGGTCTTTATTTTTCTCATACTGCCTGTGCTGCAGCACCTCTTTTCACCCTCTGTCTGAAACCAGAGCCCAGTCTGCTCTGATTGGTTAGCTGGCCGGCTCTGTTGTGATTGGTCAACCGCTTGGAGATGTCCCGCCTTAGCCTATCACATACAATGTGTTGGAGCGCTAGCCAATAGGAGCGTTCCATATTAATTTCACTCTGTCACAGAAGTAAACAAAGGAGTCCAAAGTAGGGGTGTGTGGGAGAGAAACTCCCCGTATTAAAATGTGCTGGATTGTCTGGATCTAAATCTAAACCTGTGTAACTATACATCCCTCTGTGAAGATTCTATGTACACGCAGCAGAGTTCCCGGACTATGACTGGTAAAATATGCTGAAGACCAGCAAATCTAAATCTCTCCGGTCAAAATAATTTCCCCTTAGCGCAATACCGCATCAGTTGCGCTACTTATGTGACAGACAAGAAGAGTATGTGACAGACAAGAATAGTCAATTCTNGTGTGCCTTGGCAGTCTCAGCTGCAGCACCTCTTTTCACCCTCTGTCTGAAACCAGAGCCCAGTCTGCTCTGATTGGTTAGCTGGCCGGCTCTGTTGTGATTGGTCAACCGCTTGGAGATGTCCCACCCCTTAGCCTATCACGTACAATGTGTTGGAGCGCTAGCCAATAGAAGCGCAAGTGTTACAAAGTGATGTCACTATGTTACAGAAGTAAACAAAGGAGTTAAATGTAGGTGTTTAAGGCAGGGAGTGGGGGTGTGTGGGAGAAAAACTCTCTCTGGAGGGATACAACCTTTATAACACAGTACAGGAAAGAGAAAACCCAAAAAACTAAATGGGGCCTCTTTAAAAGTCTTCTTTTTAATGCAGTACAATTATGATTGTAGCTATTGTGGCATTAGAAAAGGCCAAACTGTGATCTCTGAATTCAAGTTGCTCAAGTCACTAATTTAACAAATATAAAATGAACAAGTGTATGCAAATGTTTTTGTCATGGTTTCAAATAATTATCACCACACTCTAAAGTCTAAATATAAGCAGCTAAAGAAGAAATATTCCCCTCAGGAGTTGGTTGGACCGATACAGGAAGGTGAAAATAAAAGTGAATATTTTGACTTATATTCACCACAAAAACAATTTCTAAATGAACGCTGATATTGCTCATTGTCAGCTAAATGTAAGGCAACTGTAAGCATACAGTAAGTTACAATATATCAGGTCTGTGTTTAATGCCCCAAGTGCACAACATAAAAGAAGTACGATTTAAATTACCAAACAGTTCAACTCAATAATAGTTAAAGAGTATTTTGGAGAACAGAAGTCCCTCTGGTTGGATGTTATTTATTTGTACTTCTGTTGACATAATGGCTCTTCACTGAACAACTTTATAGCACTTTAATTGCAACCAATAAGCCATTCATAATTTGCAATAGATGTGATGTTTCCACTAGAAGAATAATGACACTCCTTTAATCAGGCGTGCATACTGCTAAATGTGGGCTTTAAAATAGAATCAAATGAAATGTGTGGAAACGTGTGTTAATGATGATTATTATCTGCATAACTAACATGCAGATAATCACACCATATTCTCACAAATATAGGAAAATACAGATGCAGAAGTTTTTCTAGACCAGAGCATAATTTTTTATTGAAGGTATTCCGCTAGGAGTAAGGAAGAAGGAGAGTGTGGTGAATTATTCTGTGAGTTCACAAATAGCATATATAATGCTGTTGGATGTTTCCAGCTGAGACAACATGTACAGCATATATACATTTAATGAGAACTGTAAAAAATTATTCATGAACAATATGTGAAAGGGTCTGAGGCTTCAGCTTCTTTAAAAAAGTATGACTTTTTGACATTAAACTTAAGTTATATAAAAAGAAAATGTAACTACAAATAAATGTACTTTTAATTGAAAATAAATCTAAATTTGTATCGTCACTTTTATCGTCCCAAAAGGTGTTATTTACAAGGATTGGTTTAGTCAAAGATAGGTACATCCACATTTTCCTGAGGATGAAATCATCCAGACTGAGGTCAGACAGCACTAATTAAATGTGTGCTGCTGAATCCTTCCATCATTGTTTAAAGTACTTAAAGTAGTAAGTACAAAACTATTTTCTAACAATGTTCCTGATAAATAATCGTATGAGGCTCACAGGCAGTGAAGGTAGGGGATTACTTTAGTCGTTGTTATTGTGTTCTTTTTTCTCTTTGTACATACCATCAGTACAGACCACTGTCTCATTTGTATGCATATATGTTGCTAAATGACAAACACTGTTTATGAATTGTCGAAACCCAATACAAATATTTTTGATCAGAAAAAACGATTTTCTGGGGCAAAATGGCCGAGGTCGTACCTGATTGGAATCAACATGATCATGAGCAGAGGGAAGATCATCTTCATGTACGGGATGGGGTACATGCCGAACGTGCAGAGCACCAGCAGCTGCATCATCTGCAGGAAGGTGAAGTAGTGGATCTTCCTCTGGGGCACTTTGCGGATGTAGTGGGTCGGAGGGTAGGAGGTCTGCAGGAGGAGAGGATCGGGAGAGATTAATATTCAAACTGAGGACCTTTCCTGTTCTCATGTCTCCTGCTGTCTTAAAGAAACGACTCAGGGAAGAGGACGGCCCACACACCTTCAAGAAGTCCACAGCGGGGTTAGATCATAAATAACACTCAGCTTCAGTGGGCTTTATCTGATGGAGTGTATTTATAGCGTGAGGGGTCTCCTGTGTGAGTGTGAGGCGGGGTGCAGGAGAGAAGCGGATAAATCTATATTAAAACCTGAACGCCTAAAGACTTTTATGCGAAAAATACAATATCTTTGTTTTCCGGCTGGGTGTATCAGAAACAAACTCATCTCTTCCAACTGATCCAGTGTCAGGTCTGAACCATTGCAACAACAGGAGTTGATGAATCAAAAGTCATCACACATCTGACAGTCCAACTATTTCACAATGTTGGCTATCATTTTGGAAACATGACTTATTTGTTATAGGGCTATCACGATTTTCCATATATGATTATCGTGGCCATAATAATCCACAATTACGATATTTTTGCGATTTCTGTAGAACATTTTAAAATAAATGTCTTTGATCAAATGTTATTTTTAAATGTAGTCATGATAATTGTGTGTAAGCAGGGCTGCCAACACTCACGCATTGAGCGTGAGAGTCACGCAATTAACCCATATCTCACGCACTCACGCCACACTTGCCTTTCCTCACGCTAAGTTTTCGTCCAAAATAAATGTATATCAAAATAAAGTGAAGGAATAGCAAACCGAGCGGTCTACGAAATGAGACTGTCTTCTGGCTTAGTTCAGTAAAGTTGGAACGATATTGGGAGATTCTGATTTCACGGATCAATAACTCATGAACAAAACGTTATTCAGACACAAATCACGTCTCCTAAGTACCGTGGTAAGGTTGACAACGAACTACAATCACATTCTGATAAAAAAAAGCCAATACGCGCCGTCCTCCGAGCTGGACACATTACATTGGTCTCTATCCGCAGCCGGAGAAGAAACGAGTGCTCAGGGACCGTCTGCAAAGTGCAACTCCGAAAAAAGAGAATACAATAATATTCAATCACTATTATACAGCTTATCACTACACACATCAATAGTCTCCTGGTGGTCATACTACAGCAAGGAGTTTGGACGAATATGCTTTTGAATAATTTTGGGGAATATTTATAATGTAAATCTTCAATAACTATGGCATCATCTTAAATAACTTTACTATTATACAGTATATTTCTACCAAACTCACTATTTGCATTGTTGTTGTTAGCATCTGGTTAGCTAGCTGCGCTAATGGATATTAGAAGCTGTTTCTAAAACAAGGAGAGGGAGAGCTCTGTCCTGTCAGACTGAGAGAACTACAGTGAGGGACAGTAAGGGACCCTCTGAGTGTTTAGATAGTTAATTTTAGACTAGTTATCTCAGTGGGTCTCAAACGTTTTGTTCACCATTTATGAGAATAGATGAAAAAAACAGTTATGAAATACTATATGACAGTAAAACAAGAACACAGTTTAAAAGGGGAGTGATTTGTAAAATATCCATAAAGAAAAAGAAAATCTGTTTACAGTTCTGTTTCATATGGGTGTTGAGAGATGTATCCTTAAATAGATTTTGCTCTCAAAGTGCACCAGGTTGATGCAGGTAACTTCAATATTTAAAAAAATAAATCTTCCTGGTGAGCATGCCCCCGGACCCCCCTACAGGAGGTGAGCACTCCCCCCACTTGTAAAATAGCACTTTACCTCTGCTTACACCTATATGCATTTTATATGCTGTGAGCTGATTATCGAGCCTTCATTGTAAGAGTCGCGGGTACACTGTGTATGTCCACTGTAGTGCCCGGTACATTAATGGGAAACCCTAGTTTGTACATGTCCAATACATTTGTAACACTGTACACATGAACACTTCTTTTTTCGGTTCACCAAAAAAAAAATCTCACTTCAAGCTGAACTCAAATGTTGGCAGCCCTGGTGTAAGTATATCCAGATAGGGAGCTGGAGAAAGAATCTTAAATGTATAAAACCAAGACTGAAGACTCAACAGTGGAGGTCTGTAAATCTGTCTCAAACTAAATAAACGTTATGAGTCACAGGCCCTTCTTACTAAAGCAGAGAATGCCATCTTTTGATATTGACATTTTGTTAAGAGTTTTTTGTTATTTTACTTAATGTAGAATAGTTTGCTGTTTAATACATCTACGTGTATACATTATTCTGCACGTTGGAGCTCAAACATCCAGGTGAAGTACCAACAACCAAAATACATTTTGAACAAATACCTCTCACTGCCATTTGGAGGCGCCGGTGTGTGAGGGGTAGTGTTAGAAGGACTTTTTTTTTTTTTCAGTAGGAAGGTTAAATCGGACACAGAGGAAAATAGAAACAAGAAATATTATTGTAGATTTACTTGTTGGTAAAGTACAGTATATTGCAAATATTGTTTTTCATATATAACAATAGAAGAAGAAAGGATCAGAAAATAACAACCTTAAATGATGAATGTTCATTTATGAGCTGATCTGTTTCAATTCACTAAACCCACCTGGGATTCAGAGTAAATTAAAACAAACATATTCTTTGGCTCAGATCCGGTCCTCCAAATCCGGTCTACCGTTTGATGTGCAGAGTCCTTCATATGGCCAAACACACACATGTATTTCCCCCCACACACACTTCCTCACCTGCTCCTTGAGGAGGAGAGCTATGCGGTCGCACATCTGGTTTCCGTCAATGGAGGTGAGGGCGATGTAGAGGAACAGGCCGTACAGGACGGGTTTGGGGATCCACTGCAGCGGGAGGGGCAGCAGCAGCACCGACACGCCGATGAAGATGTTGGCAGCCAGAGACGTCAGCCGCGTCTCCTTCACCTGGACGATACTGAGGACACACACACACAATAACACACACAGATGAACGCTTACTGGAGCGCACATGATTGTTTAATACAATGCAACAGACAACGTTTTTTTCCAAGGTTTTCTTATCAGTGTTCCTGCACATTTTCCATTTGAAAAATCTAAATTTTCCAGATGAAATTTCTTGGAGTTTGAGGGAAATATATTAGCCTTGGACTCATTTACAGAAATATGTTATATCATGATTTATAAGGTCTTTTCACCGAAAGGCCTTGTTCTTACACAAACTGACATTGTCACTGACATTGAGCTCACACAATGAAACTCGTCCTAGGAGTTATGAGCAATTCTGGCCCAATGGTTCATTATGTTGTTTGTAGTCCATGTGTCTGTTTTCAGCATCTTTTGACAATCATCATGTTCACTGGGCTCTGGGATTGAGTTTATATGAACTCCTTGTCTTAACCAAGTCAAGTGTTGTGTTGTATAGTGCAGTCACTCAAAGATCAATTAGCATTATATTTTGATGATACAATGTAGAGTTGAAGGTTTTGTATCGTCTGGTGAATTGCACAAATTGTAACAGAAAAGTCCATCCTTTTATTATTTCCAGAGAAGAGTGAAGCAAGTAAAAGTAATATAATATAAGTGTTGGTTCTTAAAATGTAGGGATAAGGCCCACAAAGAAGTGACAAGATACATCTGTGAGGTTCCAAGAAAAACAATATTTTTCTGACTATCATTTTCTTATTTTAACCATCAGTATCTGTTCAGGCGTCTGACAAACGATTGGGATAAAACAATCTTAGAAGGGAAACTGTGTCTTTAGTTTAACAACTCATGAACATACAGTTTGCAACAAACGGGCTAGCATGTGTCATCCTAAAGTAGACTTTTGAGGTTTAGGCTCCAAAACTGATCTGAAAAGATCTTTAGACCATGTAAATCAGCTAAATATCCAGCTGATTAGACTTGCATATGACTAACGTTAATTTATTTCTATTTACGTTGTTTTTACTTATTATTTTAAGTGGGTATTTCACACCTTCGTCTTTATTTAATTTGTAGTTGTTCTTGAAATGCATAAAAGTATAAGTTTGCTCAATTCCTTTTCAAAAGTTGACATTTAAAAAAGGTTGGGAACTTTTCTTTCCATTACCACTTTTCATAGTCAATCATATATGTACATTTGGAGTAATACGTTGTGGACATATGCATACATTCAAAACCCTTAATCGCATATCTTCTTTCAAATCAACATTTCTTATTAGATCTCTTACAGAAGATCGTGCTATGTGCGTTATTATCACACTTGATTACTTGAAGATTAATATATGCTAACTTTGGCCGTAATGATAACCTTAATCCTCTCATATCTTGAAAGCCCCCCCACCTTTTCAACCCGGAGACAAAATGGTTAGTTACATAGTAATCATGCAATCAGCTAAGAGCAGGATACAGTAGCCTGCGACACAAAATCACCGGTCACCGCGTGCTCTGAGGACGACCTTTAATTGAGCGTCTGATTAGCTCCGGCGATGAGGAGGCAGGTAACTCACGTCTCGTAGAGGTGCCCTCCCTCCACACGCTGCTCCACGAACGCCAGCTGGCGCACATGGAGGGTGGAGTGGGGGAAGGCGGCGTGCATCCAGGGCAACCCCAGCACCGACATCAGGATGTTAATGAGCCCAGAGAGCATCAGGTCCCAGTGATACGCCGTGCCCTTCAGCAACCTGCGGAGCAATGCAACTGTTACACTCAAAAACAACAACAACAACAACAACAACAGGCTAAACCACCACAACTCACCCACATGAGAAAGCTAACATTATCCTAGTTTCTACTTTACTGGTTGCGGTTTTATTTAGAAGTTTTCCCAAAGTGCGTCATATCTGTTTTTGCTTCCTGTCTTTGTTCGTTTTCCCGCCTATTTTGAATGTCTTTCCTGGCCTTATAAGTTCCATCTTATCACAATTAGCCTTGCAACCACCTGAGTCCTAAAACCTGTGCATTTGATAGTATTTTACCACGTCTAGTCCCCTCGTCTTAAAGTCAATTTTCTTTTTTAAATGTGTTGTTTAGATGCCTGAAAAACATCTGTAGTTACACAAAATTAAGATATCTTAACATTTTGTCCAATAACATAAAATATGTCAGTGAATACACTCGTGAATGTCCGAAAATGGCCATCGCAAACAAGTGATTAAATGAGGCTACTAAACGTCGTCAGCCCGAACATTAGCAGGTTTTAGATTAGTGGTGGTGACACGCAGTCATGTAACCTTGATGTAGTTAGCTTATATTATAAACCAACTAGACTACCGTAATTTTCGGACTATAAGGCGCACCGGAATATAAACCGCAGCAGCGGTATACCACTCTCGGTTCCACTTTTACTTTTGCGCGCTACCTGTCTCACTCTTTTCCGGCCTCCAGCTTTTCCTGCTGGAACCCGCCGCTTAAAGGTGGGGGTCCGCGGACCGGCCATAGAGCCCATAGAGTTAAAGGTGGTGGCCGTTAGCTGTAAAAATCCATAGATTAGCCGCACCGTTATATAAACCGCAGCGTCGAAAAATGGGGAAAAAGGCGCGGTTTATAGTCCGAAAATTACGGTAATGTTAGCCTTTTACTTCTGGCTATTGCATTTTTCACTTCAAAATAGCGGTGTTAATATGTGGAGGCTATACTGCTGAACAATACCTGTATCATAAACATGAGCACATGTGACACTCAGTTACACAAATTCAAAGGGCATTCATCTCCTAAATTTAGCGTTGCCCTTCAATACAACCGGACTAAAATTGCTCGTATCTCTCACTAACTCTTTCAACAAATAGGAAATCAATGTCTCTTGTGTTTCCATAAATCCAATATATAAACCATATGTATGTGACATTGAAGTAACTGTACATAAAGGGTTGATCTTGCGATCTGATGCCACAGAACATTTGTCTGCACAATAGAGGAAAAGAGGGTTGTTTTCTTACTCTGGTCTCTAAATCCCTAAATAACTTAGGATAAGATTAACCAAGTTTCATTCTGACCTATTTTCCTTCAGTGGAAACATTACTGAATGTATGATGATCTGCATAATAATGACTAATATTTTTAAATGAATAAATTATGACAGAAAACAAAGAAGCTGTTCGATAAACATCTTATTTCCAGATACAAAAAAATGATGTCGTGCAAATCAAAGGATGCATTAGTCAAAAGAGAGCAGGAACAGAAATAGCCATCGCTGTTTTCCGCTTTTGTTCTATTGTTAGGTACACATGAAAGAAGCAGTGAGGGTTAAATACAGCAACTGTGCTTACAAACCTTTTTGATAGGTGTTACATCAACTTCTATTTTTTTTTTTTACATATTGTGACAGCGTTAAAAAGATCGGCATACTTGGGAATCACTTTGTTTTTCATGCTATTGCAACCGTCGTCCTGCCTTCCAGGGAAATCTTCCCCAAACTTCCAGATCCAATTAATTTCTGCCTAACAAATGTCGATGCTAAGGGTGGAAATTCCATCATTATAGATTTCCACTGTAGGGCTGCTCTGAAGTGGTCTCTCCAATGCACATTTCAGAAGAACAGGGTGAAAAGCTCAGCGTAGTGTTTTGGCTCTGAGGCTTCTTCAGAGCTCCCTGACTGTGAACATTTGACTCAGATGTCAAGTTTCTGCTTCAGTTAATCTCCCCTCCCAAACAGACCGGCAAATATCCGGTTTCTGCACATCCCCAAGGTCTTTGGTGACTTCTCAAAGGGTCATAGAAAGAGTTTAAACCAGTAATTGCATGAGATTTTAATCCCAGGATTCACCCTCACTATTTTTATCATTTTGGACAGAATCGACAGTTATCTACTTGTAAATAAAGTCACGACAAAAAGTCATCATAGGATTCAAATATGATGCATTCTTGGTCAAAATGATTCTGTATATGAAGGCATGTTTGTCTCTACCTGTTCTCTGGAGCATTGGTCAGCGAGACGACGATGTTCTGGTCGATGAAGATGAGGAGGGCCAGGAGGAAGCCCAGGCCCATGGCGCTGACCACGTTGAGGGCCGACAGACGCTCAAATGGAGCCACCCTGAAGACGGGCCGGTCATGAACTTTAAAAACTGGAACTGTTCACAGAGCAAGAGAAGAACATTACAACTTGAGCAAAAAAGATATTAGAAAATTAGTAAAATACTCAATCAACGGAAGAGAAATGTTACTTGGCTAAAATAAATACTATGGTCCTACAATATTCAATTACAAGTACAGTACTTTCCACCACTTGATAAATGTCAACTATTTTTTTTTCATTTTTTATTCAAAAACCTCAAACATTGGGAAATTCCAGCTTCTTAAATATGAGGATTTGCTGTTTTCTTTCATTAATACTTAGATACATTTGCTTATAATAGTGGGAAATAATCGTTGGCTGCAGCCCTAATTACACCTTTGAGTTTTAATGAGTTCTTCCTTTGTTAGATAACTGTAGCTTAGGGCATGACCTACTTGATTACATCTCTATGATAGCTAAATTATAAGCATCAGTTTCTTTAGTGGACTTTAAATGGTGACAGGAATGTCATTATTTTGCTTTAAATTCTCCATCAGTACTTCCCAGCTCCTCAGATTCCATCTTCACTCACATAACTGTCTCTGTGACTGCTGTTATGACTCACGTTTCACACCAAAAATCATTTCCTGTGTTTGGCTCTCTTTGTTCCTCTGCTGTAGATCTCATTTAGGGCTGTATCACCTCAAATACTGCTGAATTAAGTGCAGCTGGTTACATTTAGGAGGAAATGACAATGCAATAATGGGGTTATTATCCTATGACTTATTGTCTCTGGAGGTAAAGGAACAGAAAATTGGCCCGGCTCTTAAATTTAAATTCACTTGAGGGTTTGGCGCTTGTCTCTGTGTTTCTGCGTCCGACCCCTGGAGAACAGCTGCTGCCTTGGCAACAATGAATGGAGACTCAAAATGATGCTAAACAATAGAGGATAAAAACTGACTATCTCCCATGTGGTTTGGCCTGTGTCTTGATTAAAGAACATAAAAAGCCAATAAAGGCACCAATAGAGGAGGCCCTGCAGTTAGACAGTCTGTTTTGGAAGTAAACACACAACAAGTTTGGGCCCTTCACCAGATTTGGACCAGAGTTGGAAGCCCTAAATACACACCTCGAGCAAAAACGATATAGCTGACTAGCAACCACTAACAGCTTCCTTACAATTACTTTCCCTCATTTCTCATATTTAATGCAATGTTGTGAATCAAACAAATGCTGTGCTTTGATCAAGGATACAGATTTTTCTTTTACAGGGCCTATGTGTTACAATAAACTCACATTATGTAAGTTCAAAGAAATGTTAATGCACATGCAGATGTTATAAATCAACTATTCTTTCCCTAAGACATGTTTGCCCTAGTTAAAAGCTCAGTAACACAACTGCTAATCACTTCATTATTCATTAAGAGCTGTGAGGAGAAAGATGTGCCTGTGCATGTGGCGTCGAGGGGGGGGAACAGATATTGACTGTAGTAGTTCTGAGAAGTTCTGTATATTTTCTGCAAAGACAATTGTAAAGATTTATGCATTGCCAATATTTTGACTCTCATTCAACTCTCTTAGTTCAATGATGAACAAAAAGATGAGCTTTTAAATATAACATATTTAATGGGGCCTGCTTTTGGGGGGGTTCTCTTTCCTGTAGTGTGTTATTTATGTTTTGGTGCATGTAAATGGTCTGCAAAAGCTAAAATCCCTGTGTTCCCTCCAGGGGGAATTTCTCTCCCACACACTTCCCCCCTGCCTCAAACACCTCCATTGGACTTCTTTGTTAACTTCTGTAACTTAGTGACATCACTAGAATATGAGGTTCTCTTTTTTATAATGCAATAGATTTAGAAATCTATCAAATCTGAATTAGAGACATGTTTTTCAAAATTACCATGTGAACGACTTTGACAATGTCAATTTTTGCCATGTTATGACAGCTGGGGTTTAAAAAATCTGTAAAATATATGTACTGTATATAATCTAATATATGTATCTGTATATTGCATACCGATATAAAACAGTATAACTAGACTGCAGTCCCTTTAGCATCTAGAAAGTAAGTTATGATACTTACGGTCAATGTCACTGAAAATGTAGGAGCCGATGAAGGAGAACATGAGCACTGAGATCGGCAGAGCGCAGTCCGACATCACCTCCCTCACTTTGACATGCAGGAACGGGCTGGAAGAGAAAGGGAGAGAAAGAAAGAAATTAAGAAAGAGGAGAGTGAGCGAGGAGAGACAAATAAGAGAGGAATACAATTACTTTAGACAAGACAAGGACAATGGCTGCAATCCTGACACTGCTTAAGTACCTCAGTCTGCCTTTTGCTTACACAATTGAATCCGGCTTTGAGGTTGATTTGATTACTGGGGGCAATCAGAAGTAGAATATTAATGCTTATTAAATCATAGCCTGGAACAGAAGCTTCGACAGAAACGGTGCTTTGTGAGAGCCCGTCTGGAAAGTTCCTGAAAGCCCCGTCACTCCAGATAATCTTTAGAGTCGAGGTCCCAACTCGGCAGTGTTCGTACGAGATCTCACCCAAACAAGATTGAAACTCCTGCGGTGATTTATCTGAAGAGTGTGGCAGCGCTGCACGTACCTCCTTTTGAACTGGTACAGGGTGTAGCCCATCCATAACGTCCCGAGCATCAGCAGCATGCAGAGGAGCGGCCTCTCTCGAGTGCAATGGATGACGGTTTCGGGGAGGGCGTTGAGAGCGTATCCCGCCGCCACCTCGCTCCTGTTTCCCCCGAGCAGATCTCCAGCCTGATGGAGGATCTGTACGGTTGTGTTTCCAAGCGTCGGTGGGTGGTAGTACCTGAGAAAGACTGAACATCCACAGAGTCTAGTTATCTAGTTTAGCCATTCTATTAAATATGGTAATACATATAAGACAGATTGTCAATAAATGTTAGATATTCATGGTTCCCAGAGGATGAATCCTAGTGATTTTCATATACCCTGAACATGTTTAACTCCCTAATGAAATCAATACTACCCTGTTTGTATATTCAGTACATTTTTTTATATCAAATACTTTCAAAACTACATGCCTCCTGCAAGAAATATTATTTGCCAACAAGCAGCCTTAAAAACAGAGAGCCTATTTCATGGTCCAATCCCCATAGAAAGATAATTTTAAATATTACATTAAGGGATACTGCTGGATGAAGAGACATGGAGGACAGGGACTGTAAACTGTGCAGGGATCGCTAGAGAAGAGAAAACAACATAAAAGTGAGATAAACCTCAGCTGAGCTGTGGCTCTGCACTGAAACCTGATCAACTGGATCATAACAAATATTCACTGAAGGTAGAAAGCACTATTTTGCTCATGTCTTTGTACACTCACACAGTAGGAGATAATAGTTTTAATGAAAATGAAAGGCAGTGACTGGATCAACAGTCAATCTGTTAGATTCCTTAAAGTGGACCTATCATGCTATATTTGGATAATATAGTGTAGGACCATACCTATATAAGGAATATTTATACTTTTTATTTTTCAAAATACAAAACAGATCATGCATTCCTGCATTCCTCATTTCGCTCAATTTAACACTGTCTTTGCATGGGCTGATTCTGTGAGAACAGCACCATCTACAGGCCTGGCATATGTACTACAGCGTCTCCAGCGCTTTCCAACGGCAATGTCCGTGGCTGTCTCCTCCTGATTGGTGGAGTTGGCCCAAAAGCCGTAGCGCCACTTCTGTGATGTCATAGAAGTGTTCAAATCTGGATCAGTCTGTATCAGATCCGTTGCAGTCCCTTTTTAAGAGATTTGGGTATGGAGGAAAATAGAGAGGGTTGTGTTTTCTGACACTTGGTGAGTTCCCTGGAACACCGGGGACACATATTCATGTATAAAAGACGTACAAAAGTGCATGTTGCATGATAGGT